GAATAAAGAAGTACAGAATTATGTCTTTACTATTAGATGGGTACAAAATATACAACTGGATACAAAGGCAAGAAGTTCAAACATATTAAAACAAGGAAATTCTAGTGATCATTATTAAAAGTGTACAACATATAATATTGAAGAAATTATCAAAGCTACTGCTCTTCCACAGTAAGGGAATTTAAATTACTCATCAAAATGGAAGTTAACATAATATTCATGGTAAAGCGATTAAACCAAGAACAGATTCATGCATCTCAACACACAAAGAGGAAGAGCGAGAAAATACCACCCAGTTCCCAAAATTAACAGTCCTATATTTGCATATATGGTATAGATCTTTCACTGTGGATTTGAAAAAGAATCAAGCAAGTACAGTGAAAAAAGGGAACATAAAAATAGAGGCAACCACCAAAACCTCCAGGCAAGAAATCCCTGAAGAAACAATGTTTGTCCCAAATTACTGATTTTCCACAAAAGTTACTGACTGTGAAAATCAACAGCCAATGCTTATCCCCATGAAATTGCAAAGAAGTAATAACACAAATAATCTGCAACACAAATAAGAAAATGAGACCTCAGTAATGCATAAGTAATAGGGAATAGTAACAGATTCCTAGGACTCTTGCAACATTCGTCACATGTCAGCTAGCAGAGAACATATAACCTTGTTACTCAAAAGTATTTTGTTAAAAAATTCTGTAAAAATATTTCAAAAATTCAAATCAATCACTAATCAATTAAATGTTTAAGATCAAAATATTTAGAAACCAGAGGCATTTATTTATCCGGATGAAAAGGAATCAGCTACTAGCTCTCAGTTAGAATTCTAGAATTGTCTTTCACTGCCAGCTCTTTTTGCTGAATGAGGCACTAACTAAAAACAAAAATATAGTGACATCTACAGAGATGACACCATATGCATGTGTTATAAATGATAGAAAGAAGCAGAGAATACATATCAACCTACACAAAAAGTTAATGACGAAGTGGTTTGGCAAGTTATATCTCAGCACAGAGCACAGGAGTTGAATCACCATAAAAGCTTCAACAAGAAAAATCTGCAAGGGTAGGGAAACAATGTAGAGCATCAGAATCTGGATACCCAGCATAGAGTGCAAGCTTTGTCAGCTCTTCGCTGGTCCAAATCAAGCACATTCCATATCCTCACCTTTTCAAGAAGATACCATGTCAACCTCTACAATAGTAACACTCCCCCCCTCCCCCCCTCTTAAAGCAAACCTCAATTCATTGAGAAGAAAATGCCGAGGATTCAAGTAACATCAAGTCTTCCTAAGCAGTACCTAAACATGTAACAATCACAATAGAGCAAGGCCCTAAAGTAGTTCAATAAATTTATAAGGAGAAGAACTTTTGCAACAATCAAATGACCTAAACATTTTAGGAAACTTAGAAAAACATCCTCAAAGTTCCCAAGTACAACTTCACATGACCCTGACAAAAAGACATATTAAGACACACCATCGATAAAGTAAACATA